GTTTGGTTTTCATTGGTAAGCATATGTGTGATCTTGTGAGGTTCACACAGTTTTTCTCTTCAAGGTTTACCTATCAATTAATCAGGGCACTTTGAAATCGTTTGGTTCTTGGCATGAAACGAAATGCGAAATCTTCTCTAGTTATTGAACGCCGCGTCTTTGCATAAGTTCTTGTCATAGACCGTCGGCAAAGACAGCACGCTTTACAAATCGAAAACTGATTAAAGCAAAACATAAGGTGTAAAAATCCGAACGGTGATTAAAGCCAAAAAATAAGATGCAGCTTACAAGGACTAGGAAAATCTAATTTTTACGTACAAATTACAAAATACAGTCCTGTAAATGCAGCATAGATTTCGTACAGTGTAGTGACTATATAATCTCGCACTGTTGTAGTTTTTTCATTGTTAAAACTTCAATGTTCCAGCGACAGGTGTTCTAGTTCATTCATTAGCGCAAATAGTTTCGTCGCGTCGCTCGTCTGTTGATTAAGCTCTTGGCGAAGTTTTGAAACTTTACTTTCAAACAAATGCGATCTTTTCTCGGCAGCTTCAGCTCTTGTGGTGGCTTCGATGGTTCTTTCGTCAAGCATGTGTAATTTGTCAATGTAATCCTTCTCGCGTTCGTGAAATTCTTCCTGTTTCACTTGCAGGCGCTCCAGCAGGCTTTTCCTTGTAATAAATTTGCTTTGGAGATCGGCACTTTTCCTCTCCGCTTTCATCTCGGCGATATTTGCCATTTGAATCCCTCGGGCATACACCTGAGCCCGTATTTTCAGATCTTTCGTCTTGTTTTCAAATTCCTGGGCTTTAGTGCGTGTTTTCTTCAACGCAACTTCCAGCGACGAACATTTTTGGGAATTGCGCGAGTCTATTTCTCTGAGCTCTTTAGACATCAACATATTTGTGTAGAGTATTTCGTCAATTTCTTCTAACTTCTGGTGCTTGTCCTCCAAAAGTTCATATGTTTTCCTCAGCGTTTCTTTTTTAAGCGCTAGTTTTCGACGTTTTAATGCTATGTCTTCCCAAAGTATTTCTAATCTCTGTTGCTTTATCTTCAACACTTTGGCGGCCCTGCGATGCTTCTCTTCTGCTGCCTCGATTTTATTCCGCAAATCCAAAATGTATGATTTCAACTTCGGCATTTTCTCGGCCATAATCACAATTTCTCAGTTAACTCCTCCGATCGATGTCGTAGAGATGTTTTAAAACGTCTTTTACGAACGAAGATCCCCCGTGAAAGAGCGAAACAAGCATAGAACGTTATAATATCTATTATCTCAAAAGGAAGCACTAATGAGGGGTGAAAACAAATATTTCGGTGACCAATTAGTCATTATTATTGTTTGGAAACACCTGTAGATTTTTGTAGATTTTAAGAACTATTGACTACGAGAAAAACATGACTGAGAAATTTTAAACGCCGAGGCTAGAAATGTGATAGCGTAACGAGAAAAACAAGATATGAAGTCTTCATACCCACTCGACCCACTTCAAATAACTTCGAAACGATATTAAAAAACTGTTAAATTCGAGATATTTCGCTCTTCAATCCTCTTCAGACATCCACCATATTCGAGCCTCTTCAGGGCTGCCATAAGTAGCGGATTTCACAAATTTAACAGACTTTGCATCGAACTACCGCGATGAAAAGTTTACAGTGCGTCAAGTGTGTACAAAACGTCGACACATCCGTGATCAACATCGAATTTCCCCATTCATTATCATTACATTATCAAAGAGACAGGTCATGAGAATAAAGATATTCATCAAATCAGGGACATTGTCTTAATTTAGCAACAAATTCTCGCAACTCTTTTCTGAAAGAGTATGGAAATTCGTAATGAGAATTTACATTTGAAGCTTTTGACTGGTGAAAGGGGCTGGCAGGCGTAACAACGAGGCAGGTGTTCTTTGTGGATAAACCGCATGAGGTGTACATCATGTTCGAGTTTCTTCTCTCCTCTCTGACTTTACTTCCAGGTTGTCCGCTTCGGCTCTCGCGCTTATTTAAGGACGTTCGCGCGAAAACGTTCCACTCGATAGATTTTTTTTCAAACTTCTACTGCGGACATAATGAATTGCTTGCTTCAGAAATAAAAATAAAAAATTGGGGGGAAAAATTGGGGGTCACGGACTTCGTTTCAGAGATAAAGCGTGTGGAAAACTAGTCTGAGTTTGAAAAACTGGCGCGCGTAAATTAGCACGGTCTCCAGGGTTTTTAGCTTAAAATTTAATATCAAAGATGGATCAACGTAGACAAACTATCGTAGTAATATTTTGTATAAGTGGATCCGTTGCGTTAATAATTCCAAAAGAAAATTCAAGCTTCTAAACGTAGAAAATCGGTACAGGAAATGATCCATTAAAAAACATAGGGGTCACCGAACGTCCAAGATCGTTAAGTTCAGGCAAAGCTATAGCAATGGCCATCTGCCCTATCATTGTTCATTTTATTATTTAGGGAGCGCTCGATGCATGACGTGGCGTGTGAATTTCCACAAATTATGTTAATAAGCCAGAACCCCATTATGATCGGTAAGGAGGGTCTTATTACGGATCGTCAATGGCTCGACTACAGCTTTTACTGCACGAATGGTACGAATAGTGGTCGATGATCAGTCACAATTCACCGTTATTCTTCCGGGTTACTGTTATTCCAAAATGTCGGTATTCATGAAACGGTTGCATTTTTAATAAACATTCTTAATAAAGTTTCTATCTATCTATCTATCTATCTATCTATTTTTAAACCAATATACAAATTGCCTGGATTGCAATAATCGTAGCGCAGTCGGCAGCGCACGACCACTTTTCCATGCGAGTCGTAAGTAGTTCGTAAAACACAATTAACCAGTGTGGACTCGTAACTTAGCTTGCAGTGCACGAGCACTGCTCGTGTGGAGTCGTAACTTAGCTCGCACGGCGCGACAACTTTTCGAGTTCTGTCGTAGCTTGCTCGCAATCCACGACTACTTCTCATGTAGAGTCGTAACTTATCGCGCAGTGCACGACAATTGCTCGTGTGGAGTCTCGACTCGAGTCGTAAGTTAGTTCGTAAAGAACAAAGACCGACGAGCACTTCGTCCGATGAAAGTTTTAAACATTTATTTCAGGGCGCTGATAACGTATCTACCTGCCAATCAATTCACAGCCATAACTGCCTTCGCAGTCTAGATATTTTCGACTGTAAAGCTAACATATTGCCTTACGACAGAAAAAAAAATCACTCGGCAATAGCCATGTCAGAGTAGACTTGGCAAGATCAGAAAAGGTCCTCTTTAGATCATTGTAGATTCAAGTGAGTGATCTCAAGTTATAATTTATTTTCGGGCCTGGGGTCGGTTACAATATTGGAGGCATTCCTACAAATGAGTTCCTTCGGCAACCGTTTGAATATTCTTATATCACTCCAAGTTCTACGCAGTAGAGTTTAAAATTGGCACTGTGGAGACTTTCCTTGACTATTTTAGCTTTTAAGATGTCGTGCTTTTTAGTTTTATATTTATCGATCTTCTGGATTAATTCTTGTTTCCGCATCTGCAAACCCACGAGTTTCTCACCAGCATTTTCGAGTCGCATATTAACCCCTTGAAGTTTCCTTCTCAATATCAGAAACTCTTGGTATTTGGCGTCTTGCAAATTTTGCTCCGTGGGCCTTTCCTTCGCATCAAATGGTTCTTTTCTTTTCCCCTTGTCCTGTATTCCAAATTCCAATCTTTCTTCGCTCATCCGTTCTAATTCTTTGGATACTTTTTCCACTCTCTTCTCCGCTCTAGATGTCAAATCCAAAGCTCTTTTTAAACCTTCCCTGATAACAAGGATTTGTCCGTGTAACTCGATGTTCTTGTAAACAAGCTTCAGTTTCTCGACTTTATCTCTAGACGCCTCGTTTGTTTCTCGTAATCTCTCTTGGTACGCTTGAATTTTTCTGCTGTATGAAATGATCCACTGAATGTTCTCGCTTGCCCGCTGTCTCTCCAACTTGAGACGCCATTGTGCATCGGTGTACCTTCGATGGGCTTCTCTCATTCGATGCTCTAG